GAGGATTTTTTCAGTGCCATGCTCATTGAGGCTGCTGGGTAAAAATAGGCGAGTCCTTAGCAAAATATTACAGAGTTGGCTTCTGATAAGCTGTACTTTCTTCAGGCCCTTGCTGGTGTCAGCCTGTAAACCTTGATATGGACAGGGGTTGGTTCTTGCTTTCAAAGTCAACAGAGAATGGGGATATGCTGAGTACTGTGCTCTGCCCCAGTTCAGCTGCAGGTTGATTAGAAACCTCAGAGTTGTTTGCTGTGGGAGATCTCTGTTCCTCTGAACATCCAAACAGGCATGTTGCTTTTATTCACTTTGTCACACCCTCACTAAGTTCTCAGATCTGCAGTCTCTGTGTAGCGTGTGGGAGGCAGCATGATGGGAGGCCTTGAAAAAGCAAACGCTGTCTGGGAGGCAGGTGGCAGGGTGACGGGCTGGGCGACCTGCAGGAAGCAGGTGTAGGGATGGAGATGCCCTGGGCTGAGGAGAGCTTAGTGGATCCTGTTCCCAGCCCAGGCCTGTGGCCAGTGCTGAAGCAGGGCCTGAGCTGATGCTTCTCGTTAGATGGCTGTGAGTGCGGGGCACACCCTTGTCACCCGGGTGCTGGGGCAGGAGGCAGCGCAGAGCACGGGGGAACCGTGGCTGTCTCTCACCAACCCACGCATGTGGATGGGCTATAACCTCTCCATTCCCAGAGCTCTTCGTGCTCTTCACATCATTCCTTCCTTGGCAGGCTATGGAAATGCAGATCAAAAAGCAGTTCCAGGACACATGCAAAGTGCAAACTAAGCAGTACAAAGCACTGAAGAATCACCAGCTGGAAGTAACTCCAAAGAGTGAGCACAAGACAATTTTGAAGAGTCTGAAGGACGAGCAGACGAGGAAGCTCGCCATCCTGGCAGAGCAGTATGAGCAGAGCATCAATGAGATGATGGCCTCACAAGCGGTAGGTGCAGCGGCCGGCGTCTCCTGTCCCTGGGCGGGGGGTGGAGGTGGGGTGCAGTCGGGCCATCAGTCCCTGCAACACACCATGCTCTTCCTCTCCTACCTGCCAGATGGTTAGTGATGTGGTTGTGTTGCTAACAACTATTTTTAAATAATGCATCAGGCAGCACTTTCCCTCCTGTCATAAGCGTCCTGCAGGACATGCATCCCTTCCCTGCTGCCCCTCGCCCGCTGGGGTTTTAGAATCGGATCTTCTTTGAGGTTTCTGCCTCTGTGTGAGTGGGGAAGCAGCTGCTCCAGAAGCCCTTCCTGCTTTCTCACTGTGCCACCACCAGCTTTGAGGAAGGAGAGCAGTGTGCCGCTGGCCTCAGAGCAGAGAAATTACTAGTGGAGGGTTGAATGTTGTCTTCCCAATGTTCTTACAGCTACGGCTGGATGAGGCCCAAGAAGCAGAATGCCAAGCCCTGAGACTGCAACTCCAGCAGGAGATGGAGCTGCTCAACGCATACCAGAGCAAAATTAAGATGCAGACAGAAGCACAGCATGAAAGAGAACTCCAGAAGCTGGAGCAACGGGTGTCGCTGCGCAGGGCGCATCTTGAACAAAAGGTACGTTTAGGGGGGCTGCCAGGGGTACCCGGTTACACGGGGTGATCTCGCTTCGGGCATGGGGTCGGCGCCCTACCCGGGGTGGTGGTGCTCTGCTAAGGGGCTGCTGACTCTGCTTCTTTCAGATCGAAGAGGAGCTAGCCGCCCTGCAGAAGGAACGCAGCGAGAGGATAAAGTTTCTGTTGGAAAGGCAGGAGCGAGAGATTGAAACGTTTGACATGGAGAGCTTGCGAATGGGCTTTGGGAATTTGGTCACATTAGAATATCCCAAGGAGGACTACAGATGAGATTAAATTTCTTTGCCATTTAAAACAAACAAAAAAAAAGACAAAAAGCAAACAAAATAATGAGAAAACTTGCAAAACCAACATTCCCCATGTTAACGGGCGTGCTCTCTCTCTTTCTGTCTCTCTTACTGACATCGTGTCGGACTAGTGCCTGTATATTCTTACTCCATCAGGGGCCCCCTTTCCCCCTGTGTCAAGTCCCGGTGCAGGACAGCTCCTGGCGGTCTTTTCCATAGTATGTCACAGTATTGATGTCTCTGTGCAATGATTAAAAATGTTTCAGTGAAAACTTTGGAGACAATTTTAATGGAAAAAAAAAAGTGGATGTTTGTTGCTTTTGAGCAATCACTCATTTTACCACCAATCAATGAAAGTACAAGCAAAAAAAATAATAATAATCAAGATATATACAAACCCAGGGGGAGAGAGACTAAATCCGCAGCCTTACCTTAACTAGCTGCTGCATAATTTTATTTTATTTTTATTTTTTTGGTATTTATTCATCAGGAATAATTAAATAATAAAAAATTTTATTAAAGATTGAAAAATTTGATACATTTTACAGAAAAAAAAACTTAATCGTGATGTACATATCAGTGGTGACATATTATTACTTTTTTGGGGGTGGGGAGGGGCGGGGCGAAGATCTGGTGATTTTTAGAAGAACCATGCCAGGCGAGGCGGGGATGAGACCTCTGTCCTCGGCATATTCTTGATTGTATCATAATCATTTTCTGCTGTCGCAGAGAATGTGAATACACTTAAATGAGCCCACAGGATCCCAGTAGCACAAATTGGGCTTTGTCAAATCGTGTATTTTGTGTATAGAAGGAATTTAAGGAGAGCTTTTACTTATTTTCATATTGTATTTTAACTGTTTCTCTGATCAAAAATTTTTTTACTTCTTTCCCCCCTTCCCTCCTACTCCCAGCCACTCCGCCCACTCTCCAGTTCAGTACTTGGAGTTCAACACTGTCTGTTAGATCATCCCCAGCCCTCTTTTTTTTCTTTTTTTTTTTTGTTTTGTTCCTCCCCCAAGTCCACCCCCAACCCCATGATCTTGGTCATAAATACTGCATTATTCACACTTTCAAACTGTGTATTTTCTTACAATAAAAAGATAAAAAAAAAAGGCTTTACTTCTTTTGCATGCACTTTAAAAAAAAAAACCAACAAAAAACACAAAAACAACAAAACAACAAAAACATTTTTCAGGTTCCAAGGAAGAGCATGAATTAACTGTCAGAGCTTTTAATTATATTTGTAAATAAAAGTGTTCATCACAACGCCTGGCTGTCTCATTGTGGGAGGGGAAGAGGGGAGGTGACCCCACCGCACCCCCAGGCGTGTGAAGGAGCTGTGCAGCAGGGCCTGCAGGAGCCTCTGGGCCTTGGTTCCAAACCCGCTTTTCTTGCCAGTGGAGGTTTTTAGGTTAATGGATTGTGGGTTATGGTTTTTTCTGTCCTGCGTCCAACCTTGAGGAGTCCCAAGGCAGATCAGCCCTTGCTGCACAGTGAAGCGCAGCTCTTCAACTGTGTCTCTGCCCACCCCACTACCTGTAGTTGTGTGGATCTTGGTCTTGAGTAGTGGGGGCTGTTTTCTTGAAAAACCACTGATCTTGTATTAGTGTTTTAAGGGCTAGGTTGAAAAAAACTACCTTGGGGGCAGAAACCAAACCCCTTTCCTAGTTCCACAGTCACTCTATTGTTTTTTTTTTACAGGGCCTTGCTGCAACACGTTGAGGTTTTTGATACCTGTTTCTCAGACCGCTTGGGTGCAGACCTTTGGGGAAAGAAAGTAGTTTAAAAAAAGGGGCAAAGGCTTCTAGTACCATGAAGTAAATTACATTGTGGCTTCATCTTTTTCAACCTTTTAAAAATGTCATACTGGACCCAAAGGTTTATTTTTCTGCTTTAAGTGCTTAGGAGACACTACCAGGCCTCACTCCAAGCTGCTGGAGGATCAGGACAACAACCAGGACCTGCCACTTGGCAGGGAAGTGGCTCCAGGTCAGTAAAGCTGGTGGTGCTGCTCCCAGGAGCAGTTGGGGTGCAGCTGCAGCAGCAGGGGGGGCTCCTGCAGTGCCTGAGCTGTGGGGGCAGGCAGGTCCCTGGGGCAGGCAGTGCCAGCTGCCAGGTGTGGGCTAACGGCTCAGGGCCCCCCGGCCCAGGGAGGCTGTGGGAGGGGGTGGAAGGCTCTTTAAGAGCTGGCTCTGCTTCCCACAGCTGGCCCGGGCCCAGGACACACCTGTGAGCACTGCCTGCCCCAGCAGCTGCAAGGCTGGTGACAGGGTAAAGTACCCCACTGACAGCAAGCGAGATGGCGGCTTCAGGGGCACCCTGGAGAAAGGAAGTTTCCTCTGAATTTCTAGAGCCGGCTTGCCAGCGCTCCCTTTGCCATGAAGCCTCACTGCAAGGGCAAGCTGCACCTGACACAAGCAGATGTAGAATTTGTACAAGGTGGGTTCACAGAATAGTCTCAGTTGGAAGAGACCTTGAAGATCTTCCAGTCCAACTATTAACCTCAACACTGACCCTTCCCAAGTCCCCCAGATCTCTCAGTGCTGGGTCAGCCCGACTCTTCAACCCCTCCAGGGATGGGGACTCCCCCCCCTGCCCTGGGCAGCCCATTCCAACGCCCAACAGCCCCTTCTGCAAAGAAATGCTTCTTAATATCCAGTCTAAACCTTCCCTGGTGCAGCTTGAGGACATTACCTCTTGTCCTGCTGCTGGTTCCTTGGCTCAAGAGACTCATCCCCCCTCTCTGCACCCTCCTGGCAGGGAGTTGCCGAGGGCCAGGAGGTCTCCCCTCAGCCTCCTCTTCTCCAGACTAAATCCCCCAGTTCCCTCAGCCACTCCCCAGCAGACCTGTGCTCCAGACCCTGCACCAGCTCCGTTGCCCTTCCCTGGACATGCTTGAGTAATTCAATGGCCTTTTTGGAGTGAGGGGCCCAAAACTGAACCCACTCATCAAGGTGCAGCAAATAGAGGTTGTTGGACTGAAAGCCGTGAGCGCTCTGAGCTGCATTCCTCCCACCTCAGCACTTGTTTCAGGCAGCATGGCGAGGAGTGGGGAACTCCTGTCAGGTGGTCCAGCCCCTTTTTACCCCAGGAGGAGGAAAGGAACCCTGTGAGCACTGCCCTCATCCCCCAAGAAGACAACCACACCATCCACCTTGGTAAGTTTTTAATTGCACTGTGAGGAAACAGCACATTAACATCAGGTCACAACAGAATTTGAACAAAACGAAGTGGTCTCTCAGCTTTGAGTGGCAACAGAGAGCAGAAATTAGTACTATAAACCAGCTTCCCTGCCTCCTCCTCCAGCTACACACTCACTGTTTCAGTGGGTCACCACAGTGAAGTGGAGGCACTGGCCAAATACTTGAGGGTAAAAATACAGAAAAGGTAGGGGGGGGAGTTTCCCTTAGACTGCCATCTCCTGTCCTGGAAAGGGGAGGCCACACAGCCAGCACCCACCCCAAAGTGGTTCTGTACCCACACCACTGTCACACGATACTATTTCAGTACAGTAGAGACACTGAAGTGACACTAATTCACAAAGGTTTTGGTTTCCCTTAAACAGGTCAGCCTGGAGGGGGCGGCCCTTATAGGGACACCTTGCCCTCTGGCTAGCAATCACCTCTACCTATGGGAGCAGCTGAAGCACAGCACAGACCCAGCCACGGCGACAGGGCAGCAGGGACAGCAACAGGGTTACAGTTCCAACAAGTCAGTGCAGGGGCAGCTGGGATCAACTCACTAATCAAACAAAACTACAGCAACGTGCTCTGAGAGGCCTAGTCTCCAGGGGGGGCAGGAGGTGCTGCACAGTGCTTTTTCAGGTCCCCTCACCCTACTTCCCTGACAGCTGCTCATAGAGCTTCGGCACGTAGTCATCCCACTCCGCCTGGTAGCAAGTACCAGCCACGGGCACCCCCAGCTCATACTTGCTGCGGAAAGAAGCCACCTTGAACTTCCCTCGTTTGTCACCAGAGCGATTGGAGAGGACGGGCTCATTGCAGGTCAGCTGCTTCGGCTGCTCGTACACCAGCCACACGTAGCGGTGCAGCCCTGCGGGGAGGAGAGTGTTACAAACGCTGGTCACCCGCAATTCCCACGTTTAAGGTTTGCTCTGAAGTCACCCCAGGAGCGCAGGGAAACAGACACCTGCGTCCTCCAGGATCAGAAGGCTAAGTAGGACGGAGCTAAAGGAGCTTAGAGAGATGCACTAGATATGCTGGAATAGCTCGTGTCCTGCTTATGCTCATCCTCTGCCCCCACCAGGCACACCACTGCCTACCACCCGCAGGCACAACAGCCCCAGCTTGCTGCCAGACCAAGGGCTGCTGGCAATACCTGTCCGTGCTGGCTGTGGCTACAAGCAGTGGCACACAGTCCTGCACGGGCCATTTCCACAGTGTAGCACCTGCCAAGCAGGCAGCCAGTTTTCTGCAGGCCTCCCCACCCTCCCCCATGCCCGCTGGGCTCAGGGTGTGGGTGCTGCTGCAGCCAGGTACTAACCTGTTCCTTTGGGAGGTCCAGAGCCAACGTAGTCTGACAGCACAGTCCCGCTCCCCACATTATTGCCTTTCATGTTGGTCACCAAGAAGTGATGCCATTCCCTAAAAAGAGAAAGCAGAATCCAGTCAGACTGCATCACAGTGCCAGCTAAGACGCTTCAGTACTCCAAGCTGCTGCTTTTCCATAAGGCTGTCAGTGTAAAGGTACTGGAGATAACAGCTGCCCTTCCTGGTTTGCCAAACCCAAAGAACACTGGTCCTAGAGCAGGTCCTGCCACTCTCAGGATGCAGAGCCTGTCAAAACCAGCTCTGTCATCCTGCCCCATGGCTCCCCTAGGAGTGGTCACAGGCTTCCGAGCCAGATCCGAGAAAGGTGAGCTGCTCCCTAGTTTCAAACTCCACTGCCAGCACAGACAGACCTAATTCCAACTCACACATGTGCCAAATTAGAGTGAGCAGCAGATGCTGTGCTTCTCCAACAGACTATCAAACACCCCTGGCAAAAGCAGCTGCTCCTCCCGGTGCTGTCCCCATCTCAAGGAGATGCAAGGACACTTTCTATTTCAAGCCCCAGACTCACCGCTGCACCTCAGATGGAGCACATTCCCGACCTGCTCCTAAGTCTGCTCAGACCTTAAGGGATGCTCTATTATCCACAGGCAAGACAGGGAGTTGCCCACCCCCATTACCTGAACTTTGGGTCCTTCCTACTAGGAGCATCTGGGTCTGTGAGAACCAGGGTGTAAAGCTTCTGGGGATCGCAGCCATCCCACTCGATGCTGGTGGGGCGATGCTGGACCTGGAGGGATGACAGCGTTAGCACAAGCTGCCAGCACCGCGCAGCCTGCGCCAGCCTGCTGCACCGCACACGGAGGCCACAGGTGACCAGCGCTGGCAGCAACAACAGAGGAGTTCAAGGCCATTCGTGCCAGCAACACCCGAGGAATCCAAGGCCATTCATGTCAGCTCCCAGGCAGCCCCTAAGAGCCGCCAGGATTTCTCCTGCAGCACGGAGCCGGGCCTGACGGCGCCGTCCCCGTACAAGAGTCGGCAGCAAAGCAGGGCCCCTCTCGCTTCCCCCCCGCACCCGGGCAGGTTCCGATGGGGTTCGCCAGAGCGAAGACGCAAGAGACTTGGCCGTCTCCCGCCATTTTGCCACACCCCCGGGCGCGGCGAGGGCCCTGCTCACCTGAGTGGGCGTGAGCACCTTGCCCAGCTCGTCTATCTCCACGGAGCCATACTTGACCCGCAGCGGGTGCGCCGGCTTCTGCTCCACCTCGGTAAGGCTCAGCGGCCCGCTCCACAGCCCCAGGTCCACCGGCATGGCTGCTGCTGCGCCCCGCTGCGCGCACTGCGCCTGCGCCGCCCCCGCACCGCCCCCCGATCCCCATTGGCGGAGGCGCCGCCACGCTCCGCTCCCATTGGCGGAGGCGCCGCCACGCTCCGCTCCCATTGGCGGAGGCGCGCCGCTAGCCTTTCCCCCGCTCCCGCTGTCTTCGCCCGGGGCGGGAGGGGCCGAGGGCGGCAGAGCGGGCGCCTGAAGCAGCTGCTGCCGCCCCTGCTTAACGGCCGCTCATTACCTCGTAATTTATGTGCCAGGGCCCGGGGGGGCAGCCCTGTGGATATCGGCACACACACGTGTGTGATGGTTGCTGGGAAGCTGGCCGTGTTGTGCCTTCCCCAAGCAGTCGGGTGTCCCCAGGGGAGCTGAGGGTACTGACGTGCCTTACAGCCCTTGCCGGGGGTAATGCAGAGGAGCGATCAATGTCACAAACCGGCCTGGAAGTTGCTGTCTGCAATGGTGGACAATGCAGGACCGTTGGGTCCACTTGGCATCTGTCAACAAAAAAAATACTGTCAGTGGGACAATTTCTCCTCACATACCCAAGGCCAACATTTAACAGCATGCTTTGTTACATTCACCGAGGGGCACCTTTAAAAAAACTGAAAACATCTGTACCTTTCTCTTTCCTTGTTCCCTATTTCCTTGGGACCTCCCCAGCAGTGGAGAAGCTCGTCCTTTACCCTTTCTTGCTTCCTTCTCCCAGTCCCTCTTCTGTCTGTGCTCTGCTTCTTTCCTCTCCAGCTCTGGTTTAAGCTGCTGTGTTGTTTTAGTTTTTTAATTTGCCCATGCCCAAGAATCATACAGACTGTGGTACGGTTCACAGAGTCATGTGTCACTGTTCCTCCCACTCCCGCTGCTTTTGGGGTGTCTCCAAGTGGCTGAACTATGGAAAATCCTCTGGGCGGGGGTTGTTCGCTTACTACCTTCACTTAGTTTTGCCCTCTGGAAACACCACCATCCTCCTTACGTTAAACGTTCCCGATCCTTGGACTGCACCCGAGGTCAGTGCCTGGCTGCCCGGGCTCAGGGGGCTGCCCCCAAGATGGCGGGCGGGGTCGGGGGGCGGCCAAGATGGCGGCCGCGGAAGATGGCGGCTCTGAGGCGGCGGGGACTGACACCCGACCCCCTTCACGGGCCCCGGTGAGCGGGTAGGGGCGGGCGGGTGGACCCGGACAGAGCC